AAGAAAGTCAGGGCCATTGTGGTAAGAGACCTGAAGTTCAAGATATGTGTATATGCATTAATGGGTAGCTGCCAATTTTTAAGTGCCTATTAGGTGGCAGGTGTTTTATACACGTTATCCATAATGCCTATAGCATCTTAGCAAAATGACATGTATTGCCATTACCAGTTCATAAATGTAGAAAGTATGGCTTAGGGACACTGCGTTTTGCTCAATGCTAACTGCTAGTACTTTTTCCAAAGTCAAGTCTCTCTGGCTCTCAACACCGTAACTTTGTCTCCAATAGCCCTTCCTCCACAAACACTCCACCCAAAACAAAGGCGCGACAGCAGTGGTTAGCTACTTAACTTCCAGAATCAGTCTGTCTGCTTTTCAATCCCTACTCTGATACTCATTACTGTAGAACTTTGGTCACATTTCTTCATCCCTCTGCTGTTACTAAATCTGAAAAATGGGGATGATCATTCCCAGTGTGCTTGGATTGCTAGGAGTTTTAAATTAATCATATAATATACACAAACATACAGACAGCTTTGCTGTCTCTTCCTCATGTTTTCCAAGTTCACTCCAGTGTACTTCAATGTTACTCCACTCTGTAAAAACTGAAGTTTGGAAATGATAGTAAGACCTCAAAATTATCTGTATCACCAAATCCTAGAGGTCCTATGGAATCTCACTTTTAGGAACTGAATTTACCACATGGCAAGAATTTTAGGAGAGTGTGGCTGATTCCAGCATCCTGGGATTGAGCCCTGCATCATCATCGGGCTCCCTGCTCCCCGGGAAGCCTGCTTCTCCCTCTCCCACTTCCCCTGCTTGTACTCCCTCTCTCACTGTCTCTGTCAAATAAATAAATGAAATCTTAAAAAAAAGAGAGAGAGAGAAAGATAGAAAGAGTGTATGGCTATTTGAATAATCAAATGTGAGATGGGTCCTTCAGTGAGAGGCTGGTTCTAACATGAGACAGTGATGTTACTCTTCTAATTCAGTGAGCCTGACTGACAGAAGAAAAGAGTGCCTTCTAAGTTTACTTCTACTTGTAGCCTTTATTTTTTTAATAGTTTCTTAGGAAATTAAGCTGTCTTTGTATTAATAAACCTGAGTATTTCAAGTGATAGACACTACACAGAAGAGAGAAAGAAGGAAAATCAGATTTCTGTCCCTAAAACAGTGTTCCTTGCCTCTCTTGGCTACTTCCACTGGATGGGAGCTGTTGGGACACTGACTTCACCTGTGGATCCACAATGTCTAGCCCTATTTCCTGGAATAGTTGCATGCCTCCTGAACAATTTTATTTTAATCCTTGTACATCATGAATCATGGTAGGTGTGTTTGTCTTTTCATTTTGGCTGCTAAGCAAGGGAATGGCACTTAGCTGCTGCTGCTGCTTCTTCTGCTTCTTTTTTTTTTTTTTTTTTTTTTTTTAAAGATTCTACTTATTCATTTGACAGAGAGAGACACAGCAAGAGAGGAGTGGGAGGAGGAGAAGCAGACTTCCCGCCGAGCAGGGAGCCTGCCTGATGGGGGCTCCAGCCCAGGACCCTGGGATCATGACCTGAGCTGAAGGCACACACTTAATGACTGAGCCACCCAGGCGCCCCAGGCCTTAGCTTCTTACTGCACTTTCTCTCTGCCTTGAATCTTATCTAAATTAAATACATTTCAATCTTTTGTTCTATGATTCCTGGTAAAATGTCCAATTAATTTTGAAAATAAGTAGAATATAAACAAGTTAATAAACATAATGTCTCTGACATATTTATTGATACCCAGATTATGCCTCGAACCATATCTATTTCTCGAAATGCTTACATATGTAATTGGAAATCTTAATGGGCTCAGATCCTAATATTATTGTGCTTAGAGAGACAACAGTAAGACTATTTATTGATTTGGAGATAATCATATAACAGTATCTTCATGGTTCTAGCATGAGCTTCTGTTTCTTGTATTATACAATGGATCATATTTCTAGCAAATCATTGAGGCTGGATTACCTCCAAAAAGTGAACCAAGGAAGCTTCTGTGGTATCAGACCAAAAAGAAAAGGCAGTAGACTATGCCCGGTCCCTACTGATCTCCTTGCCCCAAATGCAAACAATGTATTTGAAGCTTATTTTCTATGTAGTCTGTTTGTGTAAGTGGCTCAATTCTCATGTGGGAACTAAGGCAACAATGACCCATTAGGGTAGGCTGATCTTAAACTTGCCATGCTTCAGGTTTATGGTACAAAGACCAACCCCTAAGTATTTAAAAATACAGATTTTTTTTTTTCTTTTTACAAAGGCGACTTTTTGCCAAATGATTACAAGGCAATTGGAAGTAGCAAAAAATCTTCTGAGATTTTTGTCACTGTCCTTAAAATCCTACTCTGCGAACTGCTTTCCCTGTTCACCCCTACTACTTGCCAGTGTTCTTGGTACATGGTATTCTCCTTGCTTCCCTGGCTAGAGTTCACTGACCCAAGGATTAATGCTTGATCCGAGTGGGCTGATGACACTCTTCCACAAGACAGTGGATCTGGGAATTGCGGTCCATTCCTAGCAGCTGGCTGAGCTGAGGGCCTGCAAGCACAGTGTCAGGCACACGGAGTAGTTGAGAAAACCTCTCTATGGAAGGCACAGTGAATAGTGAAGCAGAGAGAAAAACAAGCCGGATGAGAGAGAGAGAGAGACAGAGAGAAGGTGGGTTGGGACATGGGGAGGGGTGGGGGTAAGGGGTGAGGGGGGAGGGCTAATGTTCTTCCCTGAGTACTTTTGCTTTTTCCATTTTCTGGTTCCAGTCCTACCAGAGGGCTATATACATTCCTATGCCTAACCTAAGCAGAGAAAAAATAGCAGATCGTGATAAATACTGCTGGGTTACAAATGATTGGAAATACGGATCCTTAACAAATTGACCTGTTAAAACAAATTGACCTGTTAAAACCTGTTAAAACATATATATATGTTTTAACAGGTCAATGTATATACCTGTGTGTGTGTGTGTGTGACACACACACAGGTATATACACCCATTTCTATAATGGAACACATGTATACAAAGAAATACACATATGGGGATTACACATTACCTAAAACTCAGATATTTATCATTTGAAAAGATTGATATTCAGAAATTACCAGCACCTGCATAATAAATCTAAATATGCTGCTTAACAAATTCCTATGAACCAAGTAGGAAAATTATAATTCTTAAAAGAATAAGCCCTATTTCTCTTAATTCTTGTTAGAGTCATCATTTGTCATGTCCGCCTGAAAACCACAAAATGCTAACTGATGAATATAGATAGTTGAATTAATGATATTATAATAAGTGATGGCCATGAAAATTCAGGATAAGTATGCAATAAATATAACCTATTATCTGTAAGGTTGTCTGTAACTTAATGCAATTTTCTCTATCAGAAATTGTCTAACAGAAAACAAAAACAGAAATCTGTAATATACCTTATAACTAAATTATCAGAGAAATACACTGCTGTGTTAAAGAAAGGAAGATTTAAAAATTTAAACGAGGAGCTAAAAATAGTATTCCTAACTTAAAACTGACATTTGGGACAAGGGTTTCTCTAATTCATGTGTTTTCTTTCTACCCTAAAGCATCTGATAAGTAAACAAAGATCTCACTCTTTTTTCACATAAAAATCAGTGCACCATTGTAAATAAAACATAACTGCTCCAATATTAAGGCAATAAACATTTTGCAAAAGTTTTTAAGATGTTGAAGCTTGAGAACCAAAAGGAATTGAAAATGCTAGTGATGGAAGAAATATAGAGAAATTGATTATAAATCCATCATTGGTTTACAAGTAAACACATGTTTTCCAGTTAACAGTAGCCAGAGAAGGTTTCTATACTTGTGGAATTATTTACTGAAGGGCTTACTGTAGGTCATACAATCAGCATTATTACCAATATGCTGCAATTAACCAATACTAATGTATGGAAAATATAAATTTATAAATGGATAGATCATAGAGAAGGCACTTAGTATGGTATAAAAATGGTCCCATGAAGGCAGAGATGTGTTTTGTTTCTCCTGGAACATTTAGAGCCATGACTGGTACACAGTAAGTGCCAGTTTTCTTTATAAAGAAATGAATGAGTTTTCTTTATAAAGGTGAGGGTTTTAGTACAGCGTCACTGGCGTCTCCCCAACCCTCATGACACAGAGAAGCTCTTTAAGGCCATCCCTGCTCCTGCAGTGTGTGCAGATCGAGGAAAGCTAAGTGAGCATTAGGGATGCATTCGCATCCCACTCTCCCACTAACTCCTTGTAAGTCTTAGGTGAGGTGACCGTTCTGGCTATCACCTCCCTCATCTGTAAACATCAGTGACTGCAATAAATGAACTATAATCCAGTTGAAAATTCTTTTTAAAAGCTAGTTTTCTAAGGCCACTTAAAATATGATTTGGTGTATACAAATCTGGATCATATAAACCTTCAGAAACATATTTATAAAGCAAAACCGAGTACATATAGCTATAATTCTGAACACTTTCCCCCTTTAGGACAGTGTTTTACATAACATCAACATATAAGCAGAAGCTTTAAATATTTATAGCAAATAAAATATCTAACTTTAGAAAAAAACAGGCATATTACTTCATATTCTAATTTCTATAAAGAGTTTTAACAAATTCCCATGTATGAATTTCATTTTATTTTTGTAGTAGAAATCTGGGATTTCCCCCCTCATCATCAAGCTATTCACATTCTATAGCAATCACATGCTTAACTGCTTCTCTCCCCTTCCTGGACTGTGAACTCTATGATGACATAATAAAGTATGCAGAGATTGGTATCTGGAATGACCGATTCCTAATCCTCTTGCAGCCTGCTCAGATACTACCTACTCAACCTCTTTGACTAGAAACACAAACTTTCTTACCATAATGATGAAAAAAAAAAAAAGAATGGGTCCAAAACCGTTCTTTAAAAACTAACTAGAATTACATAATTTTAGAATTTGGAGACATAAGAGTAAATAAACCCACCTGGGCCAGCTTACGCTTTTCTGTATTTCCTCCCTTTTCATTGTGTGATGTGTAAACTGGTGTATACTGTACAGAACCAGAACAGGTCCCATAATCTTCTTCATTTTCCTACACAGGAGGAAATATACAAGTAATTATTTTAAAATACTTCTTGTATTACTTTTAGACAAACTATCTGATATAGATGCAAATAGCAAAATAACACTTCAGATACAATTTTAAAAAATCAGGGCGCCTGGGTAGCTCAGTGGGTAAAGCCTCTGCCTTCGGCTCAGATCATGATCTCAGGGTCCTGGGATCGAGCCCCGCATCAGGCTCTCTGTGCAGCAGGGAGCCTGCTTCCCCATCTCTCTCTCTCTCTGCCTGCCTCTCTGACTACTTGTGATCCCTCTCTGTCAAATAAATAAATAAAATCTTTAAAAAAAAATCTATTTAGGAAGAAAATGCATTTTTCTATATTATGAGTTAATAATTTCCAAAATAGTCTCTATTTTGAAAAATCTGGATAAAATTTTTATAAAGATTGTTTACTCTCCATCATTAAAACAGAAGTTTTAAGTAATATTTTTTCGTCAAAGATAGAAAATCAAAACAACTGACAAAAATCTGCAAAGATGTAATATGTACTCAAATAAAAAACACATACACATAAATATTCATATATATGCAATATTCATAGATTCAAATACACATCTTCAAATGCAATCTTTTATAAATTAAGAACATGCTTCAAATTAAAGTAGCGACTACTGGAAAGATCCTATAAAACCAAATGATGGCATTCCTGGCTTAATTCTGCACCAAAGATCATCTTTTTAAAGAAATTCTCAGCTTGAAGCAAGAATTTCAATTGTGATATCAAGGCAATCAACTTTATGAAAACATACATCCTGTTAAAGCATCTTTGAAGATCTCCGTTGTTCTATGATAAAATATGCAAACAATAGAGATTATTCAGTGACTGCATATAGAATGGCAGATAGTTGCCAGAGGGCTTGTTATGAAAAATACATTGTTGAACAAAGGGCTAAGCATATTTCAAACGTCATTAAAAACATAAATCTCATGTGATTTGTAAAGTATAAGCTTCAAACTAATGCAAGAATCAAGGAAGAATGAAAAGAAGAATATGACATACCTTGTGTTTTAGCTTACTCTTCACTTCCTTTATCCCCTGCTTTGCATGATTTTTTGCCTAGAAAAAGGTAACACAAGAGTCTGGCTCAGCATGGTTCTATTACCACTTAAAGAGTAAGCAGATGAGATCTCATTTCATGAAATTTGCTAATTTCATATTATTTAGAAAAAGAACAAATTATAATCTAAAACTTTATTTTCAGGAAGACCACCCCACTTACTATTATATCTAAATTAGTGAAAACATGATTAGTCTCTATTTGCATACTACTATCATACAAAGGCTAACATATAGCCCGTTTTGCCTCTTAAACTATAGAAAATACAGGAGTCAACCAGATGACTACTGCCCAGTCCTAATTTGAAATTGTGATTAACTGGGGGTGAAAAGCAGAATCCATGTCATCCCAGCAGCAGGCTATTGGGGCAAATGTTTGGGTTTTAAGAAACTCAGGCAACTTTACAAAACTTTATTAAAATGTTTTTACAGGCAGACACAGGTTTTTATTAGCAGAAGTATCTTAATGTTATAGCTATTTTACGCCCAGTTTTTCTGGTACAAACTAAAAGTCACTCAACAAAAGACGTTATCCTCATGTTCCACCGGGAATCTGACTGCAGCATTTGAGCTTCTCAGGTCCTGATATGATTCCTGTGGGCTATAACTTAACTAAAGACCAGTAACTGGGGACCTCCCTTAAGCCTTGGCCTTTTTTCCACTGGAAATTCCCACTCAGAGTGGCCAGAGTGGAAAAGAAAGGAAATTCACATTTATCTTGTGTTTCCTTGGTATAAGACTATGTGCTGGGTACCTAGCATGTATTAGCTCATTTAATCATCACAAGTCTGTGAAGTTGGTGCTATTATTACTACATTTTACAAATAAGGAAAGTGACTCAGAGGGCATCAGTCTGCAGAGCCTAGATTCAAATCTGGGTCTATTTCATTTCTAAGTCCAACTTCCCACCATTACAAAAGGGAAGGAAGAACTAAGGTTTTAAAATATATCTATTGAATATAAGTCTTACGAGAGAAAAGGCATCATGAGTCTCCTTCTACAGACATGGAAACTAAGGTCATAGGGACTTAAGACTTTCCGACTCCAATGTTCTTGTTCCTTCTACCAAACCATCCTACCTTCCCAAGTCACTTCTAGGAAGAGTGAATACATGTCTTCCCAAGTTCACTTAGGGGAAGTGTCTCATTTCTTTCCTGTTAATATCTGTAGTACCAAATACAGTATTTGGTATATAGTAACTGCTCAAATTATGTCTTGAACTCGAATAAACAACTATTTCTTTACTGCAAATGAGGCAAAATTAAAATATATTACACACAGTAAAAGAGAACCTAAAAAGTTCAATAACCCTAAATTGTATTTCCATGGTTCTTTGGAATTAAGGCATTTTCACATTCCATATTTTATTGGTAAAGCCACTCTATCTATTTAAAGGGTCCTATTTTAACCCCTACATTCCCATTAGGTAAAAATGAATAATTACCAAGAAAATATTCCTGTTTCCATCTCCCAGAACTTGTATCCATCTTTGCTCTTATTTTGTCTATATTCTAATTTATCTAAATGTCCTCCAGTCTTTCAAAATTTGCTTGATTCACACTAATCTTTTCAGATGCTCCTTGGTGTATACAGTTGAATCTAGTGTCAGTCATGATTCTGTAATTCATGCACTGATTCATTTAAATGGCTGTTGCCCGACCTCCTCCACGGACCTTCAGACTGTCTGGAAGATGGGGTACAGACGTTCTCTCTCTCCTTTTCAATACCAAGTTGAAACTAAGCAATAAACAAGTATGCTCTACAGAGAAGTATCCAGCAAATGGCTTTAGTTAAGAATTTAAAAGACAAAATCCTAACAAAAAAGGTGACTCAGAAAATCTTTTAGCCAAATCAATCATGTATTCACTTTACCGTTATTTTTAGATTTATAAGAAAAGTATACATGTTAGTTCTAGTTTTCTTTCTGGTCTCTGTAAGGATAGAAAAATATAAGAATAAAAAAGCATAGAGAAAATGTTCCAAGCATAGAAGAATGATTTAACAACAGGATAAAATCATTATTTCCTTCAACCAATACATATTTGGTTCCTCTGTACTATGTCCAAAACACAGAGCGAAGGGACGATGATACAAACATAAAACTAGCAGGGGCAGTACCTCTGTCATTCACACTATGTGCCATACTCAGGGCTGCAACTCAAATAACCAGTACAACGCCTAGTATGCGAGAGGTACTCAAATAACTTACTGAATAAATGAAACAGTTTAAAACATGGTTCCCAGTTTTTAAAAATTTACCATCTATGGAAAATCAAGCAAATATATCCTGTTAAACCCATTCAGGAGAGAGAGAGATCAGAAGTTTTGTTCATAGTAATTTGTGGTCAAAGGAGGAAGTTCAAGAGTTCATAGTTCGAATAGCCTCAAAAAGGTGAGTTTTAGGTACAACTATGAAAGTCACAAACTGACTTTACTTGTCCAAAACCTCTTGACTTCTTCATTCATGTGCAACATGATCACAAGATAAATGATGAAAGCAATTAAGAACATTCTGAAGACCTTAATTGGCTTGAAATTAATTTAGGGAATTATCTTCCAGAGAGCAGAATTTTGACTTGTTAACATTTTACTGTTCTGCAGAAAATAAAACACTCTACTGATGAGAAAGATAAAAATATGAATAATGAATAAGTTTTGAACATGTTTATTTCTGGGTTTTTATCAAAAATAGAGAAAAATTAAGGAGAAAAACATAATAGCAAAGTAATATAAAACATTTCTCTTAGACTGAGGAAAAATTTCCAAGTGCTTGTTCAAGGAATAAAATAAGGGGCACTCGACTGAGAAACCTTTTTTTATAATCTTAAATGAATGTGAGAAACAAGGCCAGTCTGATGTTTTGCATGGCAGCCATATGCTATTTTATCATAAAAAAAAATCTCTCCAAAAACTGTATATAAATCAAACCACCAGTATTATAGTAAGATAGTGACACACTAAGAGAGGTTTTCCAGAAAAACTATGAAACAACCAAACAAAATGCACAGGCTGCTGTTTCCAGGCAAAATGGATTCAAAATGGATTCCTCTTCCTACGATGAGGCTTCAAACAGCTCAGAATTGTGGCACTATTTTTGAATCCACTCTGTAGATTAGCTTCCCTACTATAAAATGTAATCTTTGAAATGGATTTTTTTTAACAGTAATGGTGGCTACATATATGTCATAATTGTAAGTCAAAACAAGAATATAAGTTCTAAGCTTATTAAAATATATTATTCCATTATTAATTCAATCATACCACTTCCTTTACTGAGAGAGCATTTGAAGATAAACTCTTAAAAATCAGAACTATTGCCCTCAGGTGCCTGGGTGGCTCAGTTGGTTGAGCCTTGGACTCTTGAAATTTCTGCTCAGGTCATGATCTCAGAGTCCTGAGATTGAGACCAACACTGGGCTCACGTTCAGTGTGGAGTCTGCTCGAGATTCTCTCTCCCTCTTTCTCTGACCCTCCCCCTGCCTGCACGTGCGCTCTCTCTCTCTCTCTCAAATAAATAAATGAATAAAATCTTTACAAAAATCCTGCTGCCCTGAATATTTTTAGAAATAAAAAATACATATGACCTACTACATTTAAAAATTATTTTACTGAATACCAACCCACTAGCTCCAACCAGTTTAATACTAGAGATAAAGATTCACACAGGCAAAAGAAGTGCTGAAACAGAGATATGAGGACCCAGAAGGTACGTGAACCCTTATAGTGTGGGGTTGGACATTTTATAGGGAAACAGCTAAAGCTTAAACTAAGTCTTATCGAATGAATTAGTGTTTACTGGGTGGATAAAATCCAAGAAATAAATGTGCCAGTTAGTAGAAATGGATTGTGTAAGGATAGAGGCAGAAGAGAACATCTTGCATTCATGAAATGAGGAGTAGCTCAGTATCTCTAGAAATACGGCAGGCTTTAGGGGCTAGGGTGAATTGAAAGGACAGAAGAGGGATCAGGTCTTGAAGGGTCTTGGCTATTATATTAAGGAGATTTTTATTTATTAATTATTTTTGTTACTGCTATTGATATAGCGATTTTTGTTTTACTTCAGCCATGGAGAATCACTAAAGAATTTTAATTATAGAGAGTCAAACATCTTTGAGGGAAGAGAATGTGCAATATTTGCCTATTTTTTCTACTTTAGCCTCAAGTATACAATGGGAATTTAAAATATGTTGTTAAATGAAAGAATCAAATCTTTAAAAATGGCACTTCGTTATGGACTGCTTCAATCTAATTGCGCAATTTTACTGATAGCTTGGAAATAAACAAGACCTGTTTTTAGATTATATAAAGGGAATATCCTTTCTATACAACAGTTTTAATAACTGAATTCACTTTGGTCAGTATTAACTCTAAATTTTTTAAAGCTTTTTTAAATTAAATTAAATTTAATTAATTTATCTTTAAAATATTCTATTTATTTATTTGATAGACAGAGATCACAAGTAGGCAGAAAGGCAGGCAGAGACAGGAAGGGAAGAAGCTCCCCACTGAGCAGAGAGCCTAGATCTCAGGAGCCTGAGATCATGACCTGAGCTGAAGGGAGAGGCTTGAACCCACTGAGCAACCCAGGCACCCCTAAAGCTTTTTTTTTTTAAAGAAAAAATAAGAAGTATTCTAGATGTACATGTCTGTCAGCTAGGAAAATGTATAATTTTATTAATAGAATTTTTAAATATCAAAAGAAAACTTACAAATTTATATGCTGTCCGTACAGCTGGAGTTGCTTTGGTCATTGCTGTGTTAAACAGTGCACCTCCTTTCTGTAAAGAAAAAGAAGAAAGATATTTCAAAAAATTTTAAGCCAGACTGTCCTGAAAACAAAGTATTATTAATAGTATGGAAAAAGAGCTTTTCTCACAAATTAAAGACTACAGAAATTATGTCACATTAAATGTTTTCAAACTTTCATATACTATAGTAATTTCAGACAAAATGTAAACATTCTACTCTGTTCTTTTAGTTGATGTAATACATGATTTAAAAATCATTTCATCTTTGCAGTTTAGGCAGACTTCAGAAATACGACCAATAATAGGTACATTTAAAACTTAATAAAAAAAAGAACTAAAATGTGTGGAGGCAAGTTTTACATTTAAAAAAGATCATATTGGGCGCCTGGGTGGCTCAGTGGGTTAAGCCGCTGCCTTCGGCTCAGGTCATGATCTCAGGGTCCTGGGATCAAGTCCCGCATCGGGCTCTCTGCTCGGCAGGGAGCCTGCTTCCCTCTCTCTCTCTCTCTCTCTCTGCCTGCCTCTCTGTCTACTTGTGATCTCTCTCTGTCAAATAAATAAATAAAATCTTTAAAAAATAAATAAATAAAAAAAAATAAAAAAGATCATATTAACAACAAGAAATTAATACCAGAAATGATAAAACTTTCCTCAAATGATACTTCTCCTAATTTCTTTGTTCTAGGATAGAATATAGCTAACAATAACAACTTTTCAAAACACACCATTTATCTCTGGACAAAAGCTTTTCATTTTAAAATTATGAATATCAATTAAATTATAACAGCATAAAATAAACATATTTAAAATGTGAAAAAGTACAAACATTTCAAATACTGCCAATAAACGGTGTAAGTATAAACAGCATCATTTTACTGAACACTTCTCCATATACATTTGAGTGAAAGAGGAAGAAACAGTGAAGGGTTATCATTACCTTGACTGTATGCACCCATTGTTGATATGACCTTGGGTTCCCTGGAAAATATAAAAATAAGATGTCAGGAATATTTGATCTAAAATAAATCATAAACTAAAATTCATCAAGAACTAATATTTCCAGATGTTAGTAGGCAGATTTTATTTATCTGCAATGTTGTGTAAAAAGCAATGTTATTGTAAAACTATTAAATTGCTCTCTTAGGAACACAGTGATTAGAATGTTTTAGAACAGAGATTTTTTTCTTTTCTCATGTATGAAGGTAATATGTTATTCTATTTTCTTTCATTTTAAGGAGGGATAAAATAAACCCTCTTTTTTGAAATCCAAGATTCCTATGTCTTTTATATTAATTTTTCAATGTTTTATATCTATGTTGTCTTGTAAAAGTGTGTCTCTTTTATGCAACTGTGTTCATTTAAAAAATAATATTGTCAGTGCATAGGAAAAGAAAAAAAAAACTAGATGGGAATTTAAAAATGCAAAGAAACTTGAAGACAAAAGAGATTATTCTATGGTTTTTAACTATTAACATTAATGGATCACAAATTCCACTGTAATGCAATACAGTCAAGTTCTGAAGATATTCTCTAGTTGTAAATCCAAATTTGAAAGAAACTACCCAAGGAAATGTGAAGCCAATGAAGGTTTTAGTTTACAGAGCATCATGGTTATTAGAAAGTTCAAATGCTGACAAAGTTCTTTTTTTTTTTTTTAAGTTTTTATTCAAGTTCCAGTTAGTTAACATACAGTGTAATATTAGGTTCAGGTGTACAATACAGTGACTCAAAACTTCCATACAACACCCGGTGCTCATCACAAGTGCACTCCTTAAAACCAGTTCTAATAAAACTAGTAATCACATATTTGGTTCCAAATATGGTAATTTAATCAATAAAATGACATCAAAGGGCAAAAAAAGAAAACACAATAATCTCAAGTAATGTTTTATATCAACTGACTTAGATTTCATCTGCCTTCTTGGTTTAAATGCTTAAAAAACGAAGTCCTGATGGCTACTCCAAGTACAAGTAATCCCTAAAACAGATTATGGTCTCTTCTTTTTTTCAATTGGGGTATAGTTGACATACAACATTAAGTTAGTTTCAGACATAAAGCATGATTCGATATTTGTATATATTGCAAAGTGATCACCACATAAGCCTAGTTAAGATCTTCACCATATATGTTCTCTACTTGCATATTGTGTTCTTTTAACAAATTCATTACCTTGCTATTATAAAATAGAAGCAGAATGATCCCAGCCCAAGAATTTATTTCCAGCTGTTCTCTTTGCATTCCTAACCAACATCAGGCAAAATGTGTACAGCTCTGATTTTATTCCTGTAATTAAAATCTTTCTCTAACGCACAGAAAAAAAAATTAAGAAATAACCCTCATTGTAAAAAACATCTCTTACTACTCAGCACTGCACTTCACTTTTCTGGAAGAAAATACATGAGCAAAAATAATATTTTTTCTAATCTTATGAAATGATTATAGCAAAATGTGTCTACTTAAAATAACCTATGTAAATAAAATCTGCACTGTTAAAAAACCATGAGTTTTAGGTGGTATTTGTCCTAAACAATTTTTAAATTATATTTCCTTTATAAAATGACAAAAAATTCAAGTTATTCTATCAATTTATTTCCAAGGAGAGTTTATTAACAAAAAAATAAACAGTATGTCTTTTTCCAGATTGTTCATATACTTTTACCTCTCTATTAAATGTTCTCAACAGTTCATATACTTATTAACTTCTCTATGAAAAATGATTGGCTAGAAATCACACATTTAAGACTTGGTTGTTATTTATAGTATTCTGGAAAGTGCTTTACTTTCATTCTTTCCACAAAATAAATGGAAGAAAATAGAAAGAGAAACACTAACTTCTATATGATAACTATTTAGCATTCTGGAACACTTGTCAATCCAGAAAATAATTTTTTAAGCCCCTAAACTACAAAGAAAAGAAGTATCATAAAATTTCAGAGCAGTTATAGAAGGATCAGTGTCTTATTTAGAGTTGTGAGGAATAAAAATAGCTCTCATATTCAATTCTCCGCAGGTCACAAAATGTTTTTATACCTACATCCCCTTATTTGAGTTGTGTTTTTATACTCCCAAGATAGGTAAAGCAGGTAGTATCTTAGGCAGCACAGTTCAATGAGAAGGAAGTGGACTTTGGAGTCCAATGGTCTGAGGGTTCAAGTCCACTGTATCCTTGTAAACTATGGCGTTTGGGACGAGGTCTTTAACCTGGCTGCTACAATGTTACTTAGTACAGTACCTAGCACATCAAGACACACCAAAAATGTAAGTTATTATTGTCAGAAATTGCCAAATGAAGAAAGTGAAGATTCTGAGGTGGCACATTATTTGCCCAAGGTCACAAAGATAGCAACTGAGAAAGAATAAGAATCTAGGTATTTGAATTCTTGGTTCTGTAGTCCTTCAACTCTGAAATTCTACCTCTTAAGACTGTTAAATAAAATATGATAAAACAGAGATTTCCTCTATATCACTTCACACTAATTACATTAGAAATGAAAATGGGCTGTTCAAAGCAGATACCTTGAGAAGAAACAGTTCACAGAATCACCAATAATAATCCAGAATTATATGCACAGGGGAAAACAGAAGTCCTTACATAAACTGCTTGAGATGATGGGGAAACATGTGGTACGATATAGGTAGAGTCCTGTTAAATTTTTTTTAAAGATATTTGTTTCTCTAAATTTAGAGCTTTTCAAATAGAAGGCTTCTATTCCCACAAAATTTATGAGACAAACGCATTATTTTTAAAAATATTGTTTAAAGGCTGTTTTTCTTCTTAAAAATGAATCTGAATGCCAAAAAAAAAAAAAAAAAAATCCGAGTCCTTCCTAAAGTCACTGGATTATGGAAATAACAAGCATTATTGAGGAAATTCCTAGCATTGTTCTCATTAAACATATGAGTGGTTTTCTCACACTCAAGGACAGAATATCTTTGTCTCTCACCTGTCTGAAGTCTTATTCCTTAAATATATTTGTTTAAATTCCAGAAATTTGTAGTTATTTTTCAAAAAATATATAAATTTACCTAAACTGTTCAGTGAAGCCAGAAAAATGCCATAAAGTGGAAGACTACCTACTATCTCTTCCAATCCCCTTGGTGCCTCAGTCAGTACAGGAAAGAGAGAAATAAATAAAAGACTGATCAGATTATATCAGGAAACTAATGAGGAAACAAATGCTAATGAAGAATAACTATATGCTTCTTTATAAAATCAATCTGAAAATGTTTCTCCTTCTGAAAGTTTAGATAGCTGGAAGTGGATTTAAAAAACTAGCCTGATTTTAAATGAAAAAAATATGTAACCCTCCCCCCACCACGTTCTTAACTACTCAATATTCCTTGGCTGCTTGTTCACAGACCAATATTTTTATTTATCTAATTGTACCCTTTGTCCTACTTACGTCCACTTCTATTACCTTTTAGCCTCTATAGATATTCTTCCTTTTACATACTTCCTGATATTACTTCTCTGATAAGGCTGAACATTCTACAAAGGTCTCATGAAAACATCAGGAGTAACAGGGATTCCTTTAACAGTCCTGAGCACAGGAATTCACAGGACAGAAATCAGTTTTTGGAAATCTGTATGCATTCACAGTCTTTAGCCATAGTTCTAGATTCAGTGTGAATCTAGATTTTCTATGTATGACTGTCCTGCTTTGTATATTCTTATCAGAGCCACAACAATTACGAAGTTCCACCGTGCTCATATTCATTTTATCATCACCGTGCATACTGGCAACAAACAGGATACATAAACTGTTACTGCAATGGCACAGAAAGGGGAGAAATTAGATGCTTCTTCAAAATTTCCTAATTATTTTTGCTTAGCTTTAGTGAATGTTGATTTTTCTTATGGTGATCTTTCTTGGGGCTTAGTAGAAAAATCTTCACCGGATAATCACAAGACAGGAATTTTACTTTTATCCACTCGGAGTAGAGAAGGCTTGGGCAGTGCTCTTGTTTACTGAATGTCTTCTAATTAAGAAGATTTCTTATCATAAGAAAGCAATATATTATAGTTATTAAAGCAAGAGCTTTGAACGCAGGCAGATACATGACAGTTCAGACTCTAACACTACTAGCTGTGTGACCTTGAGCAAATTGTTGAGATAAGTGCCCTTATAAAAACGGGGATGGGTAATCAAAATACCTCAGGGGCTCTGAGGATTAAATGAGATAAAATTTGTAGGCTCTTATAAGAGATTCTGTCACATATTAATATCAGTAAGAACAATTATAATTATTCTTACTGTAACTATGAGAGAAATGAGTTATAATAGTTTACTTTTTTGAAAAATAGTTTCATATCACGATACAGACATCTTTCTTTATAAATATAGTTTAAATGACAAATGTATAATGTTCTTTTATATATCATTTATAAGAACATTACTAATTTTTATTATATTCATATTTTTATTTAAAATCCTAATAAATTGTGCTTTATATTCTTCTAAGAATAATCTCTATATATCTCTAAAATAATAACCTAAAATACAATGATTAAAAAATAACACTTGATAGCCAGACATAATTTGTAATATACTTTCTTGCTGTACATACTGAAATTAATACTTGTTGAACTATGTTTTCCCTTTCATTCACTATTGCTCCCGCCACCACCAAATTAAGATAAGCATTCAAAACTTTTTGCATTTTAAGAAAGAACAGCGAAGTGGTTGGCATGAAGTTGTACTGCAAATGTAGCCGTCTCTAAGTCAGATGCCAACTGGTGATCAATATTCCATTCTTTTTAAATCATGAGACCTTTAATGAAAGATTTCAGCAACCCCTCTCCCACCAGAAAAGCCACCCACCTATCCTGTATTCTAGAACAGAGGTATCTGGACCAATGGTTAAGACTACAGAATTCGACTCTACAAAACGATCACAGTTCTACCCCATTACTGTCACAAGATGTCATCTTCAATTCCATATATGATACTAGCCCCACGGGTCATAAAAATAATGAGACAGCAGTTATATAAATACTGAATGGATGCCTCAAGCAATTTGTCCATGAGCTGACAATATTTTGCTTGTCTGAGTTGAAAAGTAAAAAAGCCTTATTTTAACACAAAAGTTCCATTGAAGCTAAATTTTTACCCATGAGCTGAGGAAAGCAAGGAGCTTGGCTTATTCGCTGAGTCAAGTAAACTAAGTTTTTCCCAAAGCTAAATGCTTTCAGTGAAATGCTATACTTATGTCAGATGAAGGTCCATAAATGCTCGGTTCATTGCTACCTCTTTTAATGAACAAATTTTCTCAATGGTTTTTATATTTCGATGGTGCAAAAATACATCTTATTTAAGAATAAAATTAAATTTGGGGAAAATTGTAGATGCATACTTATTACTATTTGTCTTTTCATGTTTTATTTATCTTTTCTAGCAACTATTTATTCAAACACACACTAAAGACATCTCTTCCCTAAATTAAACCTACAGATAAAAAGTTACTATTATACATGGTGAAAACGAACATACCAGAGATTTTTGTTTTGTTTGTTTAGTTCACCCTGTACCTGGAACAGTGCCTACTATATACGTAAACACTTAGCACAACACCAGCTGAATGAATGAATGTGACATTTCAAGGACTCAAGCAAAATTCTCTGCCAGAGTCAGGACTATATACTGAAGCAATCATGTACAAGTACCAGTTCATAAGTCATTAACTGTCTAGGTAATCGTAATGTTGTTTGAATACTTATATATGAAACACTGTATTTGTTTAATTATATTAAAGTGCATTATATTAAATAAAAATGAGATATCACCTAGCTTATGTTTCACACATACAAAATAATACGACGCCTTCCATTTTTTTAGTGAGCACTTTTTACAGTGACAAGTGTAAGCACATGGGATGGTAAACTGAAAAGTCTTTTCCTCATGCTGCAATGTTCTGCAAAGCAAAAAAAAACAAAAGGCAAAGACTACTATAACAATACACTTACTTAAAATGTAAAAGCACTGTGGTATTCAAATCTTTTTTTAGATTATATTATCAAATATTTCAACTATAATCTTAGTTCTTTAAATCTTACTTAGTAGTAGACATCACTGTGGGTTATTTTTAGCAGACAACACTAGTCAGGATGAAAGACAGGAAGATACAAGCTAAATGTATTTCTGTGACATTTATTTCTACTAATATTAAGTGATTATTCAAGCAAACAGCTACCAATTCATGAGACCATCTTAACACCTTGAATAATAAAATAAGTTAACACCATAGCTCTTATAAGATCAAAAAATATATCTAAGACATTTTATGTTTAAAAGAAAATCGTTCCTTATGAAGTAGATTATATCAGATACGAGTGTAAAAATCAAAACAATTGTTACTCAGAAAATGGATAATCACACTGGAACTAGTCTTTACCTCCACAAAAGCCACCAGAAGTGATTTCCTCTTCAAATACATCAGAAAAACCCCTTCCTGAATTTAGTTTTGCCAGTCGACCATCAATAAACTGAAATTAAAAAGTGTCAAATATGTTAATTTTCACTTCCTTCATAAAATTAATTTTACTTACAGAAAAAATATTAATATCAGATACTTATATAAATATAAATTACACATATATATGTATATACACACATATACAGATACATGTCAAGAAAACTCAAACAATTAAAATAGCCCAGTAAAATAATAGCACTTTAGTTAAATCAGAAATGTATGGTACAGACTGTGACTTCATTAACAAGAAAAATAATGTACAATTTACTGGCACTTGGCTACTTTCTATTTTGTCTATCTGTGCTATCTGAAATTTGTATCTTTTGGATTATAAAAAATGTTATAAATGTTTTCAGGTTTCTCCATCCATAATGAAGGTAAAGTATCTTTAAGGTCCCTTGCATAAGAGACAAAGGGTAATATAAGAAAGACTTAAATGATGTTTGAAAGATAAACCTGAAGATTTGGAGATTAATACAAAATGTTCACTTTCATGATGGAATTAATCCTGGCCATAATTTTTTTACTCTGGAAAATTTAAATTTAGCCAAATTAAAATAGCTTGACTTTTAAACAATTCTCACTCTGTCATAGTTCTAAAAAAAAGTTTTCTATTTAAATGAACAAAACTAATTTAGAGAAGTTCTATAGAGCAATACAGTATTCCTCAGGTAGCATTTTAAAAATTATTTAATGGCAGTAAGTTACATCAGTTTTTTAAGACTCTGAGACAGAAATCTCTTACAAAATTAAGAAAGAAACAAATGAAATCAACACAGTCCTGTTCAAAATATGGTTTAACTACCTTATATTATCATAGAATAATTTTGAACCAAAATGTTAGAAGGATTTAAACAGATGTAGCCTAAAAGATGTATAGTACTGGCTTTTTTTTTTTTTTCTTTAAGAGTGTGAGTTGCTCTCATAAAAATTAAAACTTTTTGAGGGTAGGGACCACAGATAACCCAATTTTATATCCTCATTATGGATATAATGGAATAAAAAAGTTTCCAATAATATAAGCAAATATGAACAGGAGTTTGGAGAATGAAATCACATCGCTGCTACTTATTAGCTTTATGATCCTGGGCAACTTGCTGTCTGTGAGAGTCTGCTTCCCCTTCTATAAAATGGGAAAAATAATAAATATCTTATGGTGTTTTGTGAGGGTTAATTGAAACAATATGAAGTACCTAGATTGCAGGCAGAGAATAAATGTTAAATACTAAAGTCCACCTTTTCCCACGACCATCACCTATTCGATCTCTGTCAATTTATGGATTTCCTGAGTGTAGGATCACTGTCTTTCTCATGTATGTATCTTGAATACCTGGCAAAAGCCTCACATATAGTTTGAAATGAATGTTTGCTGAAAGACTCCCGTATACTGAAACAATGTGAAAGGCATGTGTACGTAATTATTCATTTCATTGTATCTTGAGATAAAAGGTAATAACAATCTTGGCATCTTCCCTACATATGATAAATGGTTAATTTGAAAATAAAGTGGTTTAAAATGCTTGCAAGATTTCACTTTCATATATTTTCAACACAGCAGTATAAATCAAACTAAAGTGATCTAATTTGATGGACTAAGTATCATTTTGAAGAAAAAAGGTGAAGTAAAATGATAAATTTAAAGCAATATATTACTGACAAATGAAGCAAACTAAGACATCCTTTTAAAGGACTTAATTTGCTTTAAAAGATTAAGACTACAAGACTTTTTAAAAGGTTTTCATTTTTATGTTTACTAGAAATAATCCATCCATTTTAGTTTGAGTGGAATAGTTCAACATCTAAAAGGAGATAAATCCCCAAACTATTTACTGATTATGCATTTTTGAGCATGAGTAACTACTTTGTGTTACTCAACTAGTGAATTGAACCAATAAAAATTAATCACTTATAAAATGCCTCATGTTATCAACTGACTTTACAAACAATTCTGTCAGTGACAATCAGACATTAATCCGCATGCATACTTAATGCAAATGTTTGTTCTTAAAATAAAAGATGGATTTTGTGCACACACACACACACAAACATATTCTATATACATACACACAAATATAGATACCCAGGGATAAGCTGAGAAGAGGCATTAATGGAGAAAAACATGCTTAAGGTAACAGTTTTCTAAATTTCTTTTTCTAGTTTTGATTCAGTAACTAGTAACACCTTTTTTTCTTTTTTTTCCAAGTGGAGTTGGGTCATGGTCACTCCATTCTAGTAACTCTGGAGGATTTCATAGTAAGTAAAAAAGACCATTTTAGCTATTTTGCATAGAAGTAATTTTGAACTAAAAAATATTATCTGTAGGAAAAGCTATAACTAAAATGGGCTGTAACCTTTCAGTTGATTACCCACCTAATTTAGTAAACACACATCTTTAGGTAATTGGAAGATGTAAGTTTTAGAAGAATTAATTTGGAATTGCAAGTAACAAGTAACAATAACAATGAAAGTGCTATAGATATAACAGATAGATATAATAAAATATTAAGGTGCAAGTAGATTTTTAAAAGAATTTAAGAGTGTGAATTAAGATGATGCTTTTTACATAAATCTCAATATTTTGCTTTTCATTCCAAAAGTCAAAATTTAAACCTGGACCTATGCTAAATAATCACACCAAAACATAAATAACATAATTGGAAATTTCAAAAAAAAATCATAGACATAATTCTATAGCATGGAGTCTATAATTTTATTATAAATTATAAATAAGTCATTCATATAAGGATATATATAATTATCAAGATTATTAATATTATTCCAATTGCAAGAATTGCATTTTGTTAATCCTTACAACACAATCTTAAAGTAGTGTGACAGGTTACAAGAGAAATGTTTTTAAGCAGTAAAGCTACTTCCTGCTACTCTTTTTGACAGTTATTGCTAAGGTTTTTCAAAATGTTTTTATCTTCAAATAACTATCTTTTTTTTTTTAAAGATCTTATTTATTTATTTGATAGAGAGAGAGATCACAAGTAGGCAGAGAGGCAGGGAGACAGAGAGCGGGAAGCAGGCTCCCTGCTGAGCAGAAAGCCTGATGCAGGGCTGCATCCCAGGACTCCGAGATCATGACCCGAGCTGAAGGCAGAGACTTAACCCACTGAGCCACCCAGGCGCCCCTAAATAATCATCTTAATAGGAAATTAAATCCATTTAAAGAAATTATCTGTTGTTTTAAATGGACTTCAGTAAGCAATACCGTTAACTAAAAACAAACATTCACCATATCAATTTTCAAATAAGATATATATGTTTTAAAAATACAATAAAATGTAAAGAATAGACTTAGAGTTAAGCTTTTTTCGAAAAAAATATAAAGAATATGTTCTGATTCACAGAATAAACTTAAATATATGGCCCAGCAGATTATGCATCTTTGCTCTAAGAGAGAAATTGTATGTTTCTCAGTTCCTTAATTCCTCACCAGTCAGTGCACTTCTGGCATTTACTCTAAAAATCCAAAATAAGTTATGCTATTAATCAGTGTTCTAAATGCCTTCAGTGGTGTGGACATATGTTATATAAATATTTAATTGTAATTAATCCATCAAAACTCTGAGGATGACAATAATTAAACTGTATGAGTCTTAAACGATTTTTAAAGATTTTGACTTTTTTAAAAAGAGCTCATAAAAAAACATTGTTCTGAGGAAAAAAAGTTAGTGGTGCAATTCTTTATCAAGCTGGGGAAGTAGGAAGATGGAGTGCCGTTTTTTGTGCTAACACAACGGTCTTATTACTGAAGCAAAGCAGCAGAGGCGGTGGAGCAACACAAAAAACAAATCGAGACTCCCCAACTCCTTTTTCCGCCTGGAGGAAAAATGAACATGTTTCAAAATTTACCTCCTATAAGAAATTCTTCCTGCACAAATGTAAGATATCTAATAAAGGCTTGAGAGCTAGAGAAAAAATACATATTTAATGAGTAGAAATCTTCAGCAATTTAAAGAAAAAAATGTTAATACTGTAAAAAAAAGTACTTTTAAAAGGTATTAATTTATAACAGATCCTTAAAATTTCCTTTCTATATAATGCTTTGGGCTCAAAAAAAAAAAAAGTAGTCTAATTTAAATATTCCTTCTTATCAATGCTCAGTAAACCTTGACAGGTTAGTGAAAACTACACTAAAGTGGTACAATAAATTAAGTCAACAGATATTTATAGACACCTGCTAAATGTAAGGCATTCAGTGAGTCACTATATATATAAACACAAACTGCTATAATAAATGGGAATGAGGTAGGTCAGTTTAGAGCTCAACCAAAAGAATTAAGTATATGAAAGAACAGAAATAAACTTATCTTTATTCCATCACAAATCCTAGGCAAATAAAACTGTAAGGATACTAAATTACACTGCAATGGTATAATGACCAGGAAAACATTTTGAAGGGTATAAAAAAGCCCAATCAGTGTGATTTATTATTGGAACTAATAACCTAAAAAACATTAACAGAACACTATCCTCTAGGATATATCAACAGACAGTCTTTAGATAATTTGCAACAAAATCAAGTCTGTTAAACTTCATGACCACCGGATCAAAGAATCAATTCAATCATTCGATAAATATCTAATTAGATGTTTACTATATGCCAGATACTTTCCTAGATGCCTGAAATACAGAAACAAATAGAACAAATATTCCAGACTTCGTGGGCTCTCTCTCTTTTTTGCTTGATGAATCTAACTAAAGGTTTATTGATTTCATTTATCTTTTCAAAGAACTAGGTCTTAGCTTCATTGATTTTTCTATTTTTTTAAGTCTCTATTTTCATTTATTTCCTCTCTGATCTTTATTATTTCCTTCCTTCTACTAACTTTGTTCCTTTTCTAGTTCCTTTAAACTTAAGACTGTTTATTTGAGACCTTTTTTGTTTCTTGAGATAGACCTGAACATCTCCTCAGACAAGGGCAACAAAAGCAAAAATAAACAAATGAGACTATAACAAACTAAGAAGCTTTAGCACAGTGAAGGAAACCATCAACAAAA